GTTTTGATCGGAACACTCTTTGGTCTTGCACAAGTGTAAGTGATATTCATTTGCAATAAAAACAGTAAAAATGAAAATATCAGAAAGAAAAAAAATTGTAGTGGCACATCCAAAAATCTATATGTATATACATATTCTGAATTGAAAGGAAATGGAAATATTTCTTAAATGAAATTCACAAAACAAAAGAAATAAACAATGGCTGATAGGAAGTTTTTCAATGTGGTAAAAAAAAAAAAAAAAAAAAAAAAAAGAAGCTATAAAAACATTAACAAAAATTGATTCTTGAAAATTTTTTTTTTCTAATTTAGAAATTTTAACATTTTTTTTCTTTTTAAAATCATTGCATCTTTACTTCAAAAAACAGTTAGCTGCCATCTTGATATTAGGGCTTACATCAAGATTCTAATTTAAGTTAAATCTGAATGTCAACAAGAGAAAAGCTTCAACAGAAATCATAAAAATAATTGGATATAATGACCAATAACTGATCACCATTATTCACATCTAAAATAACACAACTATACACATTTCTATCACAAAACTGATGTTACAGCAATGTAATACAAGGCATGTGTGTTTGTTATATGGATAATTAAACATTTCCCAAATTAATGCCTATTTTTAAAATAATGTATATACCAGCATATAAGTAAACTTTTATAGTATTAAAAAAAAAATCTTCCCTCAACAATCTGTCAAAGATATGTTGACTGGTTGAACCTGTAGACCTTTTAAAAAATATAGAACCAAAGCCTCACTATGCTAGAAGGGCACTGTTGTGTTTTCTATAGAAAGTAGATTGTACAAGATGAAGTTGCTAGTGCCTGACTGGTTTTGAATTCAAAATTGTCCTTTTCCTAGACTGGTTGCCAACTGAGACTAGAAAGCCCAGTTTGTCTTGCTATTTAATTCATAGATGAAGGGAGAAGAAATGCATTCACACATTTCCCAAGGGCAAAAGTTAACATGATGTCCTCAGATGGAATTTGAACTTAGCTTGTCAATCTCAGTTGACAATCCACTATGCTATGCGCACATCCGTCAGATGAAGATTAAGGCCTAAATTAGGTGTTCACTTATATGCAGGCACATAAAGTAATTATTAAAAAAATGATCTTTTAATAATAATTAAGTTATATCATTAAAGAGGCTAATTAGTGCAGAAACAAGAAACTTAATCTAAAAGATCAAAAAGTTATCATTATAGCATTTACCTTTGTAAATATCTGATACAAAAGAGACCAATCAATTGTCTAAAACTGTAATCTAGATAAATGACCCCTAAAAAAACGCAAAACTTTTCAATTCATTTAAGAAAAATGAATACTCTGTATTTTTGGTGTATAGGACGCACTTTTTTTTTTTTTACCTTGAAATTTAATATCAAAATCTGCTTACACCCTCTGCTTACATCATATACAGGTTATTAATAATAATAATAATAATATATATATATATATGGTTTTTGCTGTTTCTTAAGTGGTGTAGATTTTCTTGGTGTTTGTTCGCTTTGTATTATGCTGACCCTTTTTGACCGTATTTGCTTAATGCAGGATTGACCTCTTTTTACCGTGTCAATGTATATGCACGCATGATTTTCTTTTTTTTAAAACTTCAAGTGTTTGTGTGTATGTTGTTTTTTTTGCTGATATTTATATGTATGTATATTTCTTTTTGGTCTTGGTGCGTGGGTCTTTTTTGTAGATGTGTTATTTTCTTTCTTCCTTTGTCATCTGGCTTTTGTTTGGGGCATAATTAAGTACATGTTGTAGGTTTGTATCATGTTTATTTGTTTCTAATTGTATTGGTCTTTAAGTAACAATGTAAATATTTATTTGAATGTCTACATTTCTCCATTTCATTTTCTTGTTTAATAGTTTGCTTTGGCTTTTAAATGTAATTATTTTTAATTTTTCCTCCAGGTATAGTTTGCAATTTCTGCTATTGCTACTGTGCAGAGGGTGCTCTTTTTATGATTTCCCACTTAATTTTGGTGATGATGTTCTTTTTGACTCTAGATGTATTTTGATATTGATAGTGTTTTGTTGTTTTTGCATCTTTCTTTTTAAATGATGTTTTGTGATTGTTAAATCTTTCTTTGAAAGTTGTTTCTGTGGCTCCTATGTAATTTTTTTCCACTGTGTTGATGTTGTTTGTTATGATGGCTAATTGTTAAGTGGACAGATGTCTTTGTTTTGACAGTTGCATTTATTGATGTTGTTTTGTGCTGTTGTTGTCACTGGTTTTATGAGTTTTTTTTTTTTTATTGTGTTTGGTTATTATTTTCTCCATGTTGTTCATGCAGCTGTAACTAATTTTGACTGTGTTTTTGTTGATGATTTTTGATAGTTTGTTGTGTTAAGGGGTAGTGTTTTTCAATTATATTGAAGAATATTTTTCCTATTTTTGTTTTTATTGTAGGTTGGCTTAAACCAAATTAGGTTTCTTTTTCGGTTGATTTTTGGTTTGTTTTCATTTTCGTGCGTCTTATACTTCCAAAAATATGGTACTTAAGCAAATATCAAAATATATTCCTTTTAATATTATTTGTGGACTTTCTTTTTTAAATTGAAGTAGAGATTCTAATTAATTGTACACACACACACACACACACACACATGTACACACCTGCACATTACTTAAACAAAGAGGAGAATCTGATAGACTTCAAAAGGTTATATTGTATCTTTATACACAAAGCTTATCTTGTGATCATAAACTACCATAAAAGTAGAAAGGGTAATTTGAACCAAACTACACCAAAATGGTGTTCTCAGATCTTAATGTCATTTTATTTTTAGTGAGGCAGAATTTGATTAACATTTTAGATTTATATATATATATTTTTTTGTTTTTTCAAAGAGGTTGGTCGTAAATAATTTCTGTTTTGGGGAACCATTTGTAATGACGATCATTCTAAGTACTAATCATACGTAACAATTAAGAATAAATTTAGTTTTTGCATGACAGTGGCAGCATACACTGTGGATTAAAGAAAAAAAAAGTTCTCCTCCAGGACAACAAAAGTCTGCATAAACCAAGAATAACACAGGAAAAAAGTTGGGAACTTGGTTGGTCTGTTCATCCCAACCAGTCATATTCACCTGACTTTTCACCAACTGACTGTTACCTTCTTGATTGCTGAAAAAATGTTTTGATGAAGAAAACTTTTTCTAATGAAAACCAGATTAAAGATTTTTTCAAAAACTTTTCTGCAAAATCTGCAGAATTTTTCAAAAGGTATTGAAAAGCTGCTGATAAGTGGCAACAAGTCATTGCAAATAATGGTGAATATATAATTGAATAAAATGTAATTGTATGTATTTTTCAAAAGAATAAAATTTGATAAGCAAAAGCGAAAATTATTTATGACTCAACCTAATATGAATATTAGTCTTTCAATTAGCGTTGTTGTGGACAATTCTTTTAAGGATTCTAATGTAGGTTACTGTGACAGTAAAAGTAAGAAAAGAAAATTAATAAATACAATTTCTATAACATGAAGTTAATCTGTAGAATTTTTGTATACAGAAGCTCAATTATTATTAACGTCAGAGCCTGCCTTTCTACCAATTGAAAATTCTTTAAGTTCTAGATTTTACTATTAAGAATGATATATATTTTTTAAATAATGTTCTAAAATATTTTACTTTTTCATTTTACTTATATTTTGAAATCTAATCTTTAGAATGCTCTAATTACTTTTGTTGAATTCATCACTCTTAGATAAATATATAAATTTATACATAAAAATGATTGAAATGTTGTGTGTCAGAAAAACTAGATGTATGTAAAAGCTGAAAGAAATATTCAAGATTGTAATCATTCCTGTAATGATTATCTGGAGATTTTGTTAAACTATTTTAAATAAGACAATTGAATGTTTGAAGAAAGACCCAAAACCATATATTCTCCATTAGGCCGAAGTTAATCTGAGGAAATTCAGAAGAGAATAAAGAATTATTTTAGACATGAAAAAGCATATTTTTCTGTTTGATAATTGAACTAAAAACAAAAATATTATATTGAATGATAGTAATAAGAATATTTAACTTATTTAAATATTAGGTTGAGTTAAAAATAATTTCTGTTTTTATTTATCAACTTTATTCTTAAAATTATTATAACTTGTTCCCAAAAAACAGAAATTACTTAGACTCCACCTAATATATATATATATATATATATATATATATATATATAAAAAATCCCCCAATAATATATATATATATATATATATATATTGCTTGGGGGCATTTTTACTTTATTAAGATTTCTTGAATATTCAGACTGGTAGATGAAATAAAATAATGTTTAAAATAAATGGAGCATCTACTCAAATATGGGCATCAACTAAAAATAACATTTGAAGTGATTAATGTATTTTTTATATCTCTCATGGCACAGCCACACATCTTTCAATCTCAATTTAACTTTTGAAAAGCATAGAATTGTGAAAGCCGTAAAGTTACTGTAAATAAATATTCTTAGACTCCAGTTGCATTTTCAACTTTTTTCTACATGTGTATGTGTGTGTGTATATATATATATATATATATATATATATATATATATATATATATATATATATATATATATATAGTATTTACCCAAAGTATTTATAGTATTCAAAGACTATTTTAGTCATTAAAGAAGATTTTACACAGATGTCTCTAAAAACAATAGCCCACAACATTTCTTGAGTGACATTTTTAAAAGTTTCTCATTAACATTAAAGTTTTAAAAGTTTTAAAAGAAAGAATTCTAATTTTGATTTTATCAGAGTCTCCTCTTCAACAATTTTAGCAAAATCCAGCACATTTTTTGTATTTTGTCACCCACAAGACAAGATAAAAATAGAACTGTTCTATTTGACTGCACAAACCCAAGCAACCAATTTCCCACATACGTGTTCTATCACACAGTACAAAACCCAGATCTGTAAAGCTAAACATTTTCCAAGAAGATTTTCTACAGGTTATTTGAAGAATTTTCCTTTAAACGTTTCTCTTCTCTTCAGGAACAACCATTAACAATTTCTGAAGCCAAATTGTTCCATCACCTGTAAAAGATAAAACAAAATTCTGCTTGAATTTCTGAACTGAAGAGTTTTTGTAACAATGATGACAGAACAATAAAAAAAGAATAGAAAAAATAAAGGCATAAAATAGATTTAAATTAGATTAATCAGATTAAGACCCCACAACCATTCCTTCTCCTTATAGAGGGAAGGTTGCTTGAACTTAATATACAAGTCTCATGCACTATTAAATGGTATTCTGTATGTGCCCTGCTGATGACTCAGGAAAAAAACTCTGACAAAAGATAAGACACAAATCATATTACTTATTTAGTTTTCCACAATTGCAGATCCAGAAGGATTGAAAAGCATCTGCAAATTTTCATACATCCTAAAAATCTTAACTGACACATGCTGCTCAATTCTTACCTCTAAATAGTTCTGCCAATATATTCAGCACTTTACCAACATTTAAAATAATATATCATTAAACTAACATGATGGGTGGGAAAGTGGGGAGGCAGAACATCTTTATGAATGGATTTCAACATGTTCAACTGAGAAAAAAAAATCTCTGTCAAAAGACAAAAAACAAAATGGATTACTTATTATGTGCTCTGCAATCATAGTGCACTATAGTTTTTCCCTGGATAAAATTCTCCTATAAAAATACTAAAGGTAGAAAGAGTGATGAAGGTTTGGTTGCCCATGTATTGTACTAAATAATGCCAGTAATGTACAAATTCATAAATTATTAACAGTTCCACAGGTCACAAGATGGGTATAAAATATTAAGCAATCTGCAAGACAGTTATTAAGTGATCCGCAGGTCATATGATGGTTATAAACTATTAAGCTATCTGAAGGTCGCACGATGGGTATAAACTACTAACCAATCAGCATGCCACAAGATCCACAGTTAGTAATATGGGTATAAACTATTATCAGATCCACAGGTAGTAAGATAACTTGTGGCTGTGAAATCAATATGACATAGTGTTTACTATAGGCATAAGGATTAAAATAACCAAACTGCAAACATGAATTAATTCTCCTCAAAGATGACAAAGTTTTAAGGAAAATGGTAACAAAAAGGATGCTTAGACTTAGAATCAGAAAAGACAGTTTAAATTTCTAGGGCATATAATGAGGAAAGAGGGCTTAAAAAATTTAACACTCACAGTACATATTGAAGGCAAGAAGGACAGAGAAAAGCAGTGAATAACCTACCTAACAAGCTTGTGTAAATGGTTGGCAGAATAGGGACTAGGAGAGATAACAAAAAGACAAACACTGATAAGAGCTACAAACGGCAGGAAGTTATGGAGAACCATGATCGCCCACATCCTGAAGGAATATGGCATACAGAATAATGCAGAACCCAAAGAAAAAAAGAAGAAGAAATAAGCAGTATGTGCACTGACGGTATGGACCTCTATGTATTATATCAAAAAACACCAGTAATATACAAATTCTTAAACTTATTAACAGATCCACAGGTAGTAAGACACAAACAGATACTTACTTGTAAGTTTCTGGATGAACCTTGGTTTACTTTTCCAGGCCACACAAATTAGATAAACAGGAATGCCACTGGCAATAATCAAGCAACCGATTCCTAGAATAGAAAAACAGAAAAAAAATTCTTTGAAATCCAGATCAATAAGAATTAAAATTCTATTTCATTATACACCATCTTTGACCAAAATTTTCTCTTATTTCCTTGAATTTTATTTTAGTTAGTTATTTTTAACTAATGATATTTATAAATTTAGTGTAACGGTCATTAAGTGGTTAATATCAAGTTATTAGTTAGTATAGTCCAGGTTTGTTACTCCTTGTTATTTACGTATTTTTGTAGTAATAACGTATAGCATTCAGTTCAATTTGGTGAGCTTCTATTAGTTTGTTGCATTATAACCTGTTTCTTTATTTACTGCTGACCTGTGACTTAGAACCCGGCAGAGGTATTAAAAGGGGGACTGAGGTAAAACCTGTAAGTGTTTTCTGTTTTTTTTTTTTTTCTTTTTTTAACCTTTAACCTACAACTGGTCCCAGGCAACACAGTAAATATCTGCTTCTTATATTGAAATTTTTTTTATAAAAAACAGTGTAGTTATTTAACATTTTTATAGTTTTTTTTTTTTTTTTAAATTATTTGTTGTAGGAATTTTATGTTCAAATTCTAATAGTTTTTTTTTTCTAAAATTATCTTAGAACCACAGGGATGACAAGTCTAAATATCTATTAACTGAAAAGCATGTATAGAGTACAACAATTTAATTTCTAATATTCATTATTTAAATGAGGTTTTACACTTTAAACATTGAAAAGAATTTACGAAACAAGTGGAGAAATAAAGACAATTTGGAAATTGAATTTGTATAAAAAGAAAGAAAAAAAAATACTCACCAGTTTCAACAGGCTTGGCATATAATGGCAAAAGGATAAGAAAAATAGATCCAATTGTATATATGATAGGCCAAACCAAATGCACCTGGAAAAAAAGCAGCATTTTTTATCAATATATTTGTAAATACTTTTTAACAGAAAATATGAGTTGAAAAAATGTTTTTTATTTTTAAAAATTGACACAGTTAACCTTGTAACAGAATTACTGGTGTGGATTTTAGAAGTAAGTGAATAAATAATTGGTAGCTGGTTGGAAAGTGAATTACTGTGATTGTAATATACCAAGTTACTGGTGCAGATTTTACAAATAAGTGACTCTATAATGGCTGGTTGGTTGGAAAGTGGAATATTGTATTATCTACGATACATATTACTCTAATAAAGTACCACAAGAGTGATATACCAAGTAAGAATTGAACTAATCCCATTAGTAAATAGGCATACTGGCCATTGCATTACAATGGCTGCAAAAACTTAACACAAGGCCAATAGAAGGAAAGAGCCTACCATGTGTATGTGTGTATATATATATATATATATATATATATATATATATATATATATATATAAATAAAATACAAGCTTACAGACATATAGAATCATCATGATATAAGTTGGGCATCTCAGGTGGGGTCATTTAATGCCCAAATATTAATAAGTTAACTTGTTTATTGAAAAGAAAGTTTGAACAAAGTAACTATAACAGAAAATATCAATTGAGTATTGTAACTATTTACACTGTTTTCCTCATCTTCATTGCTATTTTTTCCTTCTATTGGCCTTGTGTTGGAATTAAGAACTGAACCCTTTATTTAGCCCATGGGGGTAGATTAATCCAAAAGTGACTTGGCCCAAAGAGTTGTGAGTTCAATATCTAGCCACAGCAGAGGGAACAAAAACTTAGTGAGTTGAGTTCTACAGGGAATTAACTAATACTGAGATATCCAAAAAACGCATGTGGAATTAGAACAATTTACCCCTGTGGACTAAAAGGGTTTGGTTCGAAATTCCAATATACACACCTGAAAAAGGTCAGAATGTACAACATTTGAAATATGGCAATAAATATGAAGATTGTAACATGAGAGAAAATAGCTTACCTCTTGGTAGAAAGCAGGTTTGAATGTGTCTTACATGTAAAGTGTCCCAAAAAGAAAATGGCAGCTTTATGAGTTGTATATTTAAGAAATGATAAATCTTGAAATCGGGTTCATCTCTTGAGAGACTATTTTTTGCACCTATGCAAATTTGATGAGGCAACATAGGAGTGCTATTTTGGGCAGTTAACAGGAGACACGTGGGGTGGATTGTTTGGCTTGCCTGGTACTGTTTGATGAATGAAACAGATTAGGGAATTTATTTCAAGCACGCCAAAATGCCAAACTATGTAGATAGATTATCTTTAGCATAAATTTTCATATTCTGTGTTGAGTATTGCTCTTATTTTTTTTTGTTTTGTTTTGTTCCAAAAACTAAGTCATCCATCAGGACACCTCATAGGATTCACATGCTCCTTCCTGGTGCTCTTTACATTTGTCATCAAAGGAGTTTCACTTGTGCTTATATTAAGAGACACAAAACACTATATGTGTTCCTGCAGTTTCCATTTGACTCAGAATAACTAGATTTCATCTATTGTCCAGTATGAAGGATTCTTTTGCATGACCCCAATGCAGTTCACTGCCAAATGCGATCTGTTAGATTCTGCCATTGACCACATCCAACAACCGGCTGCCAGTGTCTTCAGCATAACCATGACAGGAGTGGCTTCTGGGTGCTATGCCTTGCTAAAGGCTAACATGATTCAGAAGTGTCTTTCTCCTAGACTGGTTGTCAACCATGGCTAGAGAGCCCAGCCTGCACTGTTATTTAACCCATACAAGAGGAGATGCATTTATAAAATTCCCAAGAGTGAATGTAACGAACATGACTGGTATTTGAACTCAGTTTTCCAATTTTTAATTCTGAACAGGTATCCATTGCACCACCAGACATCCAACAAAAAATGATCAGATAAATACGCGAGTCCACAAAAAAAAAAAAAAAACAGATTAAGCTGGACAGACATTAATCATTTGTAAAATATTGTACATCCAAAATAAGTGGTATGAGTGATTTACAAACCTTGATTGGTCTTTGCCATTCTGGATGAGTATATCGAAAATAAAGCAGAGAAGCAACAGATAAGCCAATGGCCATCCAGTTGACAAATGACACATAATTGATGAGAGCGTACAAGTCAGATGACACCAAATAAAACAAAGACAGAATTCCCTGCAAATAAAAGAAAAACATGAAAGATTTCCACAAATCAATGGTTGATATAATAAAAAATATAAAACATTGATCTCATTTATTCAACTTCCTATTTATTCTGATAACCATGAAATATATTTCATATTCATTTAGGTTAGTAATCTAAGTCCAACAAAATGAGAGAATAGAATTAGGAAATTTTGGCAGCAATTTTCCTGACAGACAAACCTACTTGTCTGCCTGTCTTGAAAATTCAGCATTCAAAGCTTTTTGTTAATGCTGAAGAAATGAGAAATGTATAACTGTCCCAATCATTGAAGTTAACTTCTACCTAAAATTTTGTTTCGATCAGTCAATATATGGCTGTTTTAGAGGGTGTGACAGATGGACAGAGTAACGGAAGTAACAGAATTTTATATATAGATAGATAAAATACATAGAATCTGAACTCTTTAAAAGTCTAATACGTCATAAGCATAATAGTTGCTAACAAATGATGAAATGAAATTAATGGATACTAATGATGGACAGACCATCATCTTAATATCTCTCAAGGTTTTAAGCTTTAAGAAAATAGCATTACTAAGTTTCATCACTTCTCAAGGTTCCTTATATAAAAGAATACATGTCCTTGATTTGTTAAACTTTTCTGCATATATATTCACTTATTTAATTCTGTGGTTCCCTGAATACATAGATAAATCCACTTGGATTTAAATTCAATCATTTTCATATTTGTAATATCTGTGAAAATTTCACTGTTTTCTTCTTTTAAATTTTCCAATGTGTCAATACTTTTAATGATTGAATATGTTTCTTGCAATTATCACAATTATAAAATACCTGGGGAAATTTCACTATTGCAGCTTGGTGGTGGGTTGATTTTGTCTAGCAGCATATCAACCACTATAGGTTATTTAATGCTGAAATCTAAATATTTTGAATGCAATTGTGTGTCTTCAACTAGATATTTTGTACATGATTTTATACTTTCAAGGTAAATGTAGGTTTTATAGATAGTTTGTACATGATCTGTTGTAGGTTTTAGTTAGTTTCTTCTGGCTTCTAATAAATTTCCAGAATCCATTTCCTTTTACCAAGAATAGCAATATGAACTTGGATCAAAATCCAACAACATGAGTCTCCTGTTTGCTACAGTAGTTGCATCTTTTTGTTGCCCCTTTAAGCATTTTTATGGATAGGGTGACAGTTAAAATTTGCATATATTAAAAGGGATTCTTGTGCAAGTCTATCCAACTCTGAGATCTGTCTTTTTATTTTCTCTTTAATCATTTCACCCCAAGCAAGGCAGGAATGCCACTAGTATGCAGGGGGTTAGAGAGAGTGAGAGAAAAGACTTGGTATAAGGGGGGGATTGAGTAAAAGATAAAAAATGAATGGGGTTCAAGACAACAGATGATGGTGATTGATGTTGCATTTAAATTTTTGAAGATTGTAGTTTTTAGGGAAGCAAGTAAATGGAAGGGAGTTCCACTGTCAGGAAGGATGGGAAAAGAAACTGTTGGCAGTTGCATTTAACTATTTCATCAGTAAAAGAGTGGGATCTAGATGCCAATCTAGTGGCACACTTAAATTCATGTAGTCAGGGAACCAGGGAAAAAAGCTTGTCAGAGCAGCTGCCATGAAAATATTTGTAGAAAAGACAGAGGGAAGCCACATCATATCTGTGAGAAAGTGACTGAAATCAAGATGCCAAGTCAGGATCGATTATATTGCAGTTCCTTCCTCGAGATGAATAGCAGGAGAATCAGAGCAGATATAGCTGCATGGTAGATTTGCAAATGTGCAAGATGGACTCTGACAAAAAAAAAAAAAAAAACTTTCTGGAACAACACAATGAACAAACTTTCTTTGCAGTAGATGCAGCTATTGATTCAGTGTAGTTGTTCCACTTCAAGTCAGTTCTGTCTTAAATATGTCTTGTGAAGCAGTCATTTTCTTTTTGGGAATATTTTACATGCTAGACACGTCCAAATCTGTTTTCATCCCGGATATAAGCCATTTTCCCTAGTGTTACACTCCCACCTGATCACATACGTCACAGGAGGATGGATGTTACCTTCAGTGAGTGCTTCTTTGTAGACGAGGATGGGATATTTCTATCAGTGTCCCACACTCACCTGTGTTCTCCTGGTCACCCTCATTTCTGATATTGTTGCCATCCTCTGGCTTTCTGACCCTGTTCTTAAGAATTGAGGGGTTAAGTGAGTACATTCAGTTAAGATGTATTTCACCATTGAGTGCAGCTTGGCATGTTGTACATGTTGGTTGATTTTCATTCTTCAGCAAGCATGAATGTAGTTGTAGTCCATGTGCAGTGGAGCCAATATTACCTCAGCCTTTTTCTGTTTTCTAGACACCTGCCTCCATACACCCAGGATGAGTTTGATTGCAATTGTAATTATAGACACTGGTCATTATTTAAAGCAGTAAGAGGGTACAAATGGAAAGATTGAAAATGTCTTACTGTATATTTACATATATTTATAACAATTTCTTTAATCTCAATAACAAATGCTTTATTCCAAAAGTTAAAACTTCACAAGACAAACCTTAAATAGACATAAAGTAAGACAAAATATATGCAAATTTATGCCACTCTAACTTCACTGGCACTTCTTTGAATGCTATATTCTTAGTAACAGTTCTCTGTCTTTTTCAATTTGGTTGTTAGTGTCTGACACTTCACCTTCATTGTTAGCGTCTGACACTTCACCTTCATTGTTAGCGTCCGACACTTCACCTTCAGTGTTAGCGTCCGACACTTCACCTTCAGTGTTCATTTCTGATACTTCGACACAGACATCAGATAATCTGCAAACCTTTTTTTTTGTTTCTTATCATTATGCATACTTTCTTTTTCTTACTAAAGCCAGATAGTGTCTCTGATATATCTTCTGTCTTTCCTTGCAATGAAAAAATGGATGATCCACTATTAAACTAAGGTAATGGCAGGGCATATAACAGATATGTAAAAGTAGGAATATACAGAAATAGAATATGATGCGCTTTATACAAAAGTCTTTGGGGGAATAGAAGTATGTAGAATAATATCCAAACAAAAGTGGAGATAATAAGAACAAAGTGGAAAAGCTATTCAACTACACCCCCCCATAGTAGGTGTCTCAGGCTGGAATGAGAGACAAATGCATAGGTGAGAAAAAGAAGAGGTAAGATCAGATATTGTGGTTGGATTTGAAATTTAGCCCACTCCAAGTAGATCTGTTTTTTCTTTATTAGTTCATATGCCACATCGTACTACTAATATTTTTGTGATGAGGGGTGATATTTTACACTTACTGACTGTAGAGAACTGTGAAGTGCATCCTGATGTTTCAATACACTCTGTCGATATACATTTATATGCAGGAAATACGTTCTCAATCTGTCTTCTAGTTATTTCCTGCCTTGGAAACTAGACTGACAATGATTCATTACTGTCATGTTCATATCATATACGGTATGCATGAACTTGTTATATTTTGTTACACTTTAGTAGCAGGGGTAGTATCTTAGTAGACACAGAGATTATGATATATAGCAAGAAAGAAAATACACTGACAGAACTTACCATGAACAAGACAGCAGGCATTGGGGTGAGGTTATTAACTGCTACATAGCTCATTACTTGAGGCATGTGACCCTCACGACCACCAACAAAGAACAGTCTATAAAATAAAACCATTAAAAAAAAACATTAAAATGAAATAATGTCAAAAAAAATTATTTTATGGTATAACAACATAACAACAGAGTAATGAACACAAGCTGAATTCAAAACTGAGGCAATAAACATGGTGTCATCCAGGGATATTAACCTATTTAACCTTTTACCATTCAACATGTTCAATTTCTGTATGATCACTAGAGTTAAGCATTGTCAAGCATGGTCAGTATCTAGATTGATGACCACTTGGGAATACCAATTGCTGTACATTTGGATGTCTGGGTGGTGTAATGGATAATGACTGGGAATTGTTAATTGAAGAGCCAAGTTCCAATTCCCATTGAATTTGTTATACTCACTTACATGCAAATACCCTTAGGAAAGGTATGAATCTACCTCTTCTTCCCCAAGCTATGGGTCAATTAGTAAGTCTTGTATCACTAAACTATTATTTTCTCCAAAAAAGAAAAAAAATTCTTACAATCTAAAAATATTTTCTGGCTTTAAATAACCTGCAAAGACTTGATAAACTCTAGAAAGCAAATCAATCAATAAACATGCATAAACCCACCCCATAAATACTGGCTCTGAAAGTCTTACTGTTTATGAGACTTCTGTATTATTTGCAATGATTTCAGCATATATTATGGTAGAGTATACATAGAGGTGGGTTATGGCAGACTGAACATTTAGAGCTGTTATTTATTGGGTGGGTTGAATGCGAAAAGGTTAAAGAATGCTTGCTATACTTAAAATATATGGACAATGTTTAACCTTTGTGCTTGAAAAAAAAAAAAATGTTATATGCTTTTGACTCTATTGGCAAAATTTCAAAAATCAATGATTAGAATTTTAATAAAACCCAAACATGAAAATAGATTTATAGATTTTCTTTATTCTTGAGAATTAACAACAAAGATATTAAATCCTATTTAATTATTAAATTTTTTATTTATGAGAAGAATTGTATATTTACAAGATTATAAAAATGTGAACCAACTATAATGAAATATTTATTATTTATCATTTAAGAAATAAATAGAAGTTTTTTTATTCATAAATTTATAAAAAAATATGTGAACAAGAAAATTTAAATAAACACATAATGAGGAGTAGCTAATTATAGATTTTGAAAAAATGTATTTTCCTAGCAGTTCTTTCATTTGCTCTCACCACATAAATCCTCTAAAATAGGTTGATAGCATCTCTTCCTCTGGACCAAATATTATTTTAATGTTAGATTTTCAGCAAGATCACAGACACTTAAGTGTATTTCTCCATATTCATTTTCCTTGTGTATAATTACAGAATATTTGTAATTTTTAATGCAAATATTACATTATAGTTGGTTTACATATTTTGATAATTTTATAATTCTTTTATAAATTTTTGAATACCAAGATCTCTTTTCAAATTTATTTCTTTATAAAATGGTAAAAACGAAAATGAACAAAAACAGCCGTCAATTGCTGAAACCTCCTGACGAGTGGACTGAACAATTACAAAAGGGTTCAACTATGAAACTCTGGAGTTGAGGTGCTGAATATAACATCGATCAGCTAAGTGACAAATTTGATTATATTAATCCTAAAAGTTAAATAAATATTGAATTGTGTTTGATTCATGTATTTTCATAATCTTAGAAATAGACATTGTCGAGGGAGTCAAAAGTATATAAAGCAAAGTAACATTGTTGCCAAGAGAATAACCAACCTTTTGACAGACCATTTTTTTTAGGCACAAGGGTTAAACACTGTCAATATTTGTTAGTAAATAAAGAATTTATCAGAAAATTTGATACAGAAAATAAAATAATAGGTGCAAAAATTTAAAAATAATGATATATGAATTTAATTAGGTACCTCCACAAAACAGAAAAAAAGATACCTAAGGTTCAAAATGAATTTTTAAAAATGAAAAATCTTTCTTGAAGCCTTTATTTTGGTTTTAATTTTAAGCTAATAGATTAAATTTAATATTTCCAATAAGCAAAATACTTTGCTGCATTTCAAAAACTAATTTAAATTGACTGGAAGAAGTAATTGTTTTTGCTAAAATAGCTGATTTGTGTCCTTTTTTTTTAGTCACTTTTCATTGCAATGTAATTCTCTACATTAAAAATCTTCCAAAAATAATATATACTTTTCTGAAACAAACTGTATTTGAGGAATATTATCTGATTTAAAGTATAATTAATCTGATTTGGAGCAAAAATTATTTACTTTATATTTTAAATATCACAAAGATACATTTTTATTCAGACATTAGCTATTTTTTTAACTGACAGTAGCTATGTTGAGGTGTTTGACAAGGTGATCACAGGTGTTCTAATGAGAGTTTATCTGTAAAACATTGATAAAAAAGAGTGAGCACCTTTGTTATTTAATTTTGAAGTACTCAGTAATCTTAAAAATTTAGGAAAATATTCTCCGTAATCTAATGTTTTATTGAATTTTACATATTTTGGCTTTAAATTTACTATAATTATTGCTTTTATTTTCTGATAATGTCATGCATGCTATTCTGTACTTACAAAAAATGGCATGTTTATACACTAATAAAAAAAATTCAAAATTATTTTTAAAATATTGGTGTTTGAAGATTTGTATTATGCTTTTTCATTTATGATTAGTAAATATAGTTTTCACTTAATAATAATATCATCTAAAAGGCTGAAATTAATACAGAATTTTAAGATTTAAAACTTAATAAATTTTTCTAATTAAAATTTAAAAAAAAAAATGAAAACAATTCTTGTAAAAATTCATTATTCACCAAAAAATTTTTTTTCTGAAAACAATAGTGTCCTTAATATATTATATTTATAAAAACAATTAAAAGCTCTTCTAATTAAATGTCATAGTTTTATTGCATTTTTTATTTTACAATTCAGACCAAATTTTTGGTAAATGGTGTTTCTGTTTGACAAAACAAATTGATGATTTAAATTCTCCATGGAGCCTTGCTTTTAACTAATATAAATACAAAGATCCTGAATTGGAATTTTTGGGTAGTTTTCAGTACTAGTGAGCTAGCCAAAATGAGCTGACTCATTTTATAGTTCACCAATAGAAGGGTTAACCAATCAGAAAGCTCAAAATATTCAATGCGACGTGTATAAAGGCAGCCATTTTGTTTTTTCTCCCAAAATATCTTCAATGCCAACCTGATATCAAAGACTTAAAGAATTGACAGCCGCTACTTTCTCTGAATCTACACTGCCAACCTCTGATATTGAAGAGATTACGAACTTCACTGGATTCCATATTCAGAGACTATGGCAAACATGGTCAACAGGAAGTGTTTTAACAATGGATGGAAAGTGTGACATTGAAATCCAAAGGTGCATTGAGATAGTGAAAGATGCCTTCCAAAAACCAAGCAAAGTATTAAGAAACAGGAAAATTCTGTTAGAAAGAAAAAACCTTTATGTAATACCAGTCCTCCTATATAGCAGTGAACGCCGGACAATTTCCTCACAGATGAAGAAGAGGCATAAAGCAAGAGAAATGTAGTTCTACAGAAAGATGTTGAGGATACCATGGACTGAACAGGTGAGCAAAGATAAAGTTTTAGAGAAAAAGGAAAAAAAAATGATACTTATACTCAGCATCAGAAAGAGGCAATTGAAATTTCTAGGGCACATGAGGAAGGGGAGCTTGGAAAATTTGATACTCACAGGGAGAGATTGAAAGCAAGAAGCATAGAGGAAAACAATGCATAACCTATCTAACGAGCTTTAGTAAATAGATGGCAGAACAGACTTTAGTAAAGCTAACAAAAAGACAAAATTTATTAAGACACACAAAGGACAGGAAATTGTGGAGAGGTATGATGGCCAATGTCCTGAAGGGACAAGGGAGATAGAAAACAACTTTATGAACTAAAAATCAATTTTGTTCCTCACTTGATTTAAGGTTTGGAACCTAAATTTCAACTTTATTATTTCCCTATTAAAAAAAGGTACAAAAATTTTATCTCATATAAAGGTCTCATTTTTTACCTGTTTCTCTTTGACATACAAATTCATTTTTACTAAACCATATTGTTTAGTGTGAAATTTTGTCTTGTGTTCAGTAAATAAACAGCACATTGATATATAAATTTATGTTACTTATATCAGAGAGCATTCCTTGGCATAATATATAAATCTAAAATTCATACGGTATGAAGGTATCCTTTTCATATGGGGAGGTACTTGAATTTTTGTCCATTGATTCTGTATTTTCTTTGCTGATTGCTATTATATACTCTTGTGTGTTTATATAAAGTAAACGAGATTTAAACAATTATTTATAGCTTTATATGTGGGTAATGCATCTGTTATGGGTTACGAAAGTAGAATCAGCAAGTCAAATTCAAATTCCACCTTAGTCAGTTGTATTCACCTTTGGAGAAATGCTTTTGGGAAAGGCTTGAATACATTTCTTTTCTTTCCAGTTATGGATTAAATAGTTGGGCAGCCTGGGCACTTGAGCCTTGGGTAGTAACTAGTCTAAGAGAGGAAAAATACTGAATTCTAAACCATGGAGAAATCAACAGGAAACCACTCCATTACTTTTTCAAAGATTGCATAGCAATTCACAAATAATAAAGCAAAGGAGTCTGTGGAACACCATTATTATCTATGTCTTGAAGGGTCATGGTATTGGAAAGAAAGAAAAAAGCTAAAGATATCAAACTAACTAAATTTATTTAGTTTAATTTTAACGGATTTGATTTTTACATTAATTTCTAACTTTAAGCTGATAACATAATCATATGATTTATACATAATGATTTTCATTTACTGAAAAAACAGCAACCATGGTCGTGTTTATAATATTCCAAAAGACAAGATAAAAAGATCTAAAAATGTTTCTTTCTTACCTTGATGAAGTGAAGAGGACCCCATTTATTCCACCAAATGTTGAGAGAGAGACAAAGATTGGCATGATCCACCACATGATTCCATAAATTCTCTTGGAAAACATCTGAACAAGAATAAAAAAAATACTCATAAAACCGTGCCATAATTTTCATTGATTTATTTGTTGAATCCTGTATGCAGAGTGAGTGACCATGGTTAAATGTAAAATAAATGACAGAACTGTCCAACAAACAGAATTGACAGCAATAACAAGAAAAAGAAAAGAAAGAACAGGGTAAAAAATAATATAAAAGCAAGCAAACAATATCTGCAAGGTAAATTAGCAGTAATAAGGCAAAGTAATATGGAAAAAAGTTTACAAATTAAGAATTGGAGTTGAAAGACAAGAGCAAGTTTGGATAAGCAAACATAGTTTTCTGACTTCAAGACAAGACAGACTGGGATTGAGTGATATGAAACCGAGAACTAGCCTGTTTTATTGGCTAGAAAGAAATCCCAGCATGAATTTGTGTGCTTCTGCCTATAAATTGGGGAGGGGAAAGTATTTTGCAATTATTCCATACAGGATTGGAACCAACACTGTAAACTAATATCATTACCTTTGTTGTATTTATCTGTTTCAGACAAGGGGCATTCTGATCATTCTCACTACAATTAGTTAAGTTTTAAAATATAACTTTCAATTTCTCATTAAACCTAGTGGCGAAGACCCACCTGGCATTTTTAAGTGAAGAGATGAAGGCAAAAAACGTTCTATACTTTGAAACATTTGTTTAGATTTCAAGATAAGCTATTACTTGTACATTGTGCTTGAAAGATATTAATTAGAAAGCAAAGCATATACATAAACATCATATGGAAGCATCTAATGATAAAAAAGCAACACATATCTAAAGCTTCAAAATTAAATCAGCTGAGTAGATAAATGCACAAAGGTTTCTTGTTTTTTTTTAACTAGAGACTAAATTATAGAGTTAAAAGTTGTGTCCCCCCATACACACATTTTTCTGGAAACTTTTTTATACACTGAATTGATGATGAATTTATTAATGACTAAAGTTAAGCTCATAGAGTTATTTCAAACTCCATGATCCTTTCATCAGCTGCATAGTATTATGTGTTTCACCAGGGCTACATACAGTTTTGAATTTAGAGTTGTCTTTCTTGTTTCCAACCAAGGCTGAACAGCCTAATCTACCTTACTATTTAGCCCAAAAGCTGGGATAGAAGAGATAGAATTATACTTTTCCCAAGTGTATTTATGTGAAAGTGAATGTAATGAAACTCAACTGGAATTCAAACTCAACTCTCTGATTTCTTGTTCCACTATTACATTACCTGCACATCCAAAATAATAAAAACACTTAATTTCTGAGAAATCATAAGTTCAGTCTCTGGGTTAAGCAGTAGAAAAAGCTGGACAGGATTTGGTATGGTTTGTTTGTTTTACCAGCATATCAAACCTTGTGCGTCATTTAATGCTGTAAATTAGATTTTTATTCAATAATATTTTAGGAAGTTTTAAGTTTTATAATTTGTGAAGTATAATTGAAAACTGCTTGTATATTCTGTCTATAGGTGAAATTGTCTGAGTTAAAGTTTGGTGTATAATTTAGTTTTCTTCCAGTAGGTCAAAATAGTTTTTACATTAACATTTTTGAAAAGTTCCTTAAGGCTATTATTCACTTAAGGTGTTTACAGATAAAGGTAAGTTCGGCACAGTCCATCATAAAATGTTTTACTGTGTATATCTCTATGCATTTAAATGAATCCTAATCTTTTAGAAGGAATGAATGTGTGATGTTGGTGTGGCCAATTCTGATTCTTGCTGAGACTACTTCTTCACTTTGGACAAAAAGAGGGCAACAAAGAAAAAAAACCCGCAAAAGAATAAGGAGAGGCTGCTGTATTATGTCTTTAGACAAAATCAAGTGGCTCACTTCACTAAGGGAGAAGGAAAGGATAAAATAAATATGGTCCAATGGAAAGAAGAAAGCTGACCTAGTCGAGATAAAAAGGGGGGGGCAAAAAAGACTGGGGAAGGTTGAGAATTTCAAAAAAGTCTGAAAGCAAACAGTGGAAAGAATATTATAAAACATACTGAGTGTTTCTTTTGGTTCAGCTAAACACTGCCTTGCTTTACCTTCTTGTCTAATAGACAGATGAGGTCATTAACTGAGTAATAAGAAGCAATTAGATTGCTCCCCCAACCCAAATGCAGTGTAATTAATTTTTGCTTTAAGGATTTTCTTAGTTGGAGCTTGGAAAGAGTACATTTGACAAGCTTTTCTCTTTGATTTCTTTCTTTTGCCTTTCAAAAGATAGTGTTGACTACTACAAATAGAAATGATAAAATACAATAGCGTCAGGAAAAATATCTGGCAAATATAGACCTTCATATCCACAATAAGACAGAGTATCAAAAGGATGGCTTTTCCCTTGATACTGCTATTATTTTAACTATGTTCACTCTTTAGCAATGTTTATTGTTTTAATAAGTGATGATTAGAATTGTAATAAAACCTAAACCTATGAAAGTGAATTTATGCTTTCTTTGTTCTTTCAGCCAACTTTGATCTTCAAAATTTTAAATGCAATATCAATCATTATCTACTGTCTCTTTGATTCCTCTTCTTTTATTGTTCTTAACCTTTAATATTGTTTTTCTTCTTCTATCACACTTTATTGCTTTGCTTGTGGTGAAATGATTAAAAAAAACAAAACAAAAAAACAAACAAAACAAAAATATACAGCCAGTCCAGGATTTCTCTGAACTCCCAAACTCAAACCATCTGACAATTCTAAGTTTAGAAGAGAAACCTGGGTTCAAATCTCACTAGGGTCAATTTGTCAAGGAGGTGACTTCTTGATAATACCATCCTGGGGTAACAATCCTAACATCTGTCACTGTCGGAAAGTGCCTGAAAACCATAATACATGCTGACCCAAGCCTAGTGAATGAACTTGGGTAAATGGAATTGTTTAGAAGCAATTATGATCGAGGGTTTGAGCATCTAACCTTCTTCAAACTATTGATCATGCCAAATTATGATCTTTCTCCCAGAAACTGTAACAAAAGTCCACTCAACATAGTATAAACCACAAGTTGGCTTTGTCGGTGTTGAACAAATACAAATATGCCTGTGCAGTCATCTGCAACAGGGATTAGATAGTCAGCATAGCAAAGGTAAACTTGTGTACAAGAGGCCAGCCTTTCAAGTTAGTACTTCTCTTTCTGCCACCATACTGCGAATGAGGTTGTCTCTTCTCTCTTACTCTGGAAGCCTGTGTCAAACCTGACCAAGGGCAGAAAACTATCATTCCTTGACATCATCTCAAGGGATGCAGGCATTGGTAGGCAGGACTTGGGGACAGCAATGAAGGACTGGGAAGTTTGGTGTAGTGTTGTGGACTCCATGATCTTGACTGCGGTTGACACATCATGATGATGACTTCTCTTTAGCTTGTTAAGTATTACTATCATGCCAGAGGACCTTACAAAGAAATAACCTTTCTTTTAAAATTTTCTGAAACATTGAATTTGACAGATTCCTTGTGAAAGTCAAAAGATACAGTACCTGAAATCTTATAAAAGTAAACAGGATAAGTATGCAAAATTTGAAAAAATCATTAATGTGTATTAATTTTGTCTGTAAGAATAAGAATAAAAAATGCTGAATCATATCCTTTACTTTTGTCTATTGTTCTGCATGCTTTCAAACAATCCATAATCATAAATTCTAATATCTCACAGTGAGAGAAAAGACAATGTTTTTGGCAAATAGCCAAAATCAATAGCAGAGAAACTGTTGGATTACCAATATTATATTTAATCACATACATTCACACAGAGATTCAAAGACAAATTCAGGCCAAAAAATATCATTCTCAAGTTATTTGAATTGCAAAGGAGAAAGTTAAGTGAAAGAGTTTTCTCTTCATAGCAACCAAGTTCTGATGACTGTGTAAATATGTTTACTTATGTTTATGTAAAGGTCAACAGATTTGTGTTACAGTTATTTGACATTGCAAGGCTTGAGAACATGAATGGACTTACTAGTTCAAGTTCAAATAAATGCCAACAAAGATATTCACTACATTTCTTGTGTATGCAAAGCTAACAAGATGAAAGATTGCCAAACACCTGTCAAGTTCATCAGATGATAATGTTCTGTGTTGCAATGACACACTTTCTCAAATGCTCTCGTATTGTATCTACAACTTCTTAACAATAATAAAGGTGAATCATTCTATTCAGATAAAAAGGTGACAATAAAAAAAAATTGCAAAGACCCAAAAGGAAAATAATATTTTTTTGGTACAAATTTTCCTTGGCATGTTACAATTCAAACAACATTTTGTGTAATCATTTCACCACAAGTCAATAAACACACTGAGACACAAGGGGTTACTGAGTGCAAAAGAATATGAGAAAAAGAAAACGTTATTAAGGAGAGAAAATAAAATAAAAGGAATTAAAAAAAATAGAAGATAACGATTGACATTGCATTTTTGAAGATCAAAGTTGACTGGAAAGCAGGAAACCAGAAAAGAGTTCCAAAAGTGAGAGTTCCACAAGTGCAAAAGAAACTGTTAGCAAAGAACTTATGGTTACATCTAGCGGCCATTTCAACTGTAAAATGATAAAATCTTGCCACCAATCTAGTACTGTGCTTAAATTCGTAAAATCTAGGTACCATAGAGGAAAGTTCATCAGAACAATTACCATGAAAGTATTTATAGAAAAGGTACAGGGAAGCTACTTTACAGCAATGGGAAAGTGACTGAAGTCAAGATACTAGGTCAGAACCAATAATATTGCAGATTCTTCTTTGAATTTTATCAAAAATCTCTAAATATATAGCTGGAGCAACAGACCAGATGTGCAGCAATATTCAAAGCATGGATGAATGGTAGACTTATAGATATATAATATAGATTCTGGCAAGAAAAATTGTCTGGCATGACACAGTGAACTAGCTTTCATAGCAGCAGACCTACCAAATGATTTAATTTGTAATGTCTAGGTACCATGCCAAGTAATGTATTTTTCAGAATATAAGATACATCCATATTTTAGGACAAAGTTTTGGAATGAATGAG